CTGTTGTTTGCGAGTTTCACTCAGCACCAAGGCAGTTCAGTTGCTGCCAACAACTTCTGTTCTATTTGCAAAGTCCTCTGGATACCCATTATTATCCCTCTCCTTACTTCCCCGAGATTGAAAACAACCTCCTCCCTTTTCCCCTGGACGGGAGCGGGGTGGGCAGGGACTGCCAGCCATGGGAGGGGGCTGCCCCAGTGCCAGTGCCAGCCCCACAGGGCAGCCAGGCAGGACCTGGGGCTTCACAGGCAGCTGAGGGCTTCTGCCCCCCAGCTACGACCAAGAGACCATTTCCAGCACCTGGATATGCCACCTGCATGAAAAAGTGCCCACGGCCCTCATCATCCACCTCGTCTGCCTGCCCATGCCCATGCAGCTCAGCTTCCTCTGCCAGGTGCTCAAGGGTGATGTGTGGGAGCCATGCCCTGACCCTCGGGGGGCACAGCGATGCCTGGGGATTCCAGCTCTGCTGCCAGCATCCCCCTCCATCCCTGCAGCCGTGAACTGCTGGTGCAAGGAGAAGATCCCAGGGGACTGCAGCTCCAGGTGACAGCCCCAGCACTCCAACCTGTCCCTGTCCCTGTCCCCGTCCCTGTCCCTGTCCCTGTCCCTGTCCCTGTCCCTGTCCCTGTCCCTGTCCCTGTCCCTGACCCCACAGCCCCTCAATGCCCCCATCTCTATTTCTATTTCTGTCGTGATCCCATCTCTATTTCTGTTGTGCCCCCAGCCCTGGGAAGGAAGTGCCAGGTAGGGCAGTGGCAGCTCCTTGTGTGCTGCATGACAGAGACCTCGGTGGTGCTGCTGGGGACAGCACCCCCTTCCTCCCCATCTCAAACCCCCCCACCCCCATCGTCCAGCGCAGCAGAGCCCCCTCCTTCAACACCCCCAGACCCCACTTCACGCCGTGCACGGGGAGGGGGGTTGAAACATTTATTCCCAAGCGCCTTCATCCCGCGTATCCCTGCTCCTCCTCGTCCTCGCTGCTGTCCTGGACGAGGTCGGGGTCTGCAGGCCCGCAGGCCAGGCAGGTGCCCCCCGTCTCCCCCCAGCAGGACTCGCAGTACAAGGCAAAGCAGTCGGGCTTGGGGCAGGGCTGGTGCCGGGGGGTCTCGGGGGTCCCACATATGGTGCACCTCCGGCGCAAGCAGCGGCGCAGCCAGGGCCAGCGCTGGCGGCACCACTGCAGCAGCAACGTCCCCTGCAGCGAGGATGTGCCCGTGTGGAGCTGCGGGGTCGAGGGACAATGGCAACCCCACCCGGCACCCCGTGTCCCTGTCCCCACTCACCGGCTCGGGTGGCTGCCGCGCTCGCCGGGCAACGCGCCCGCGCTGCAGGTACAAGAAATTCTTCCGCTGCCGCAGCAATTTGTTGTACAGGAACAGCACTCGAGCCTTCTCCCTCTGTGCCAGCAGAGACCGTGAGGGTCAGCAAAACCCACCCCAAAAAGCACCCCCAGGCTGTGCCCAGCCCTCGGACTGCTCACCTTGGGGAAGTAGAAGGCGGTGATGACGCGGCGCAGGCGGAACGGGTAGACCTGGGCCAGGCAGAGCAGGGCCAGCACACCCAGGGGCAGGCAGGTGCTCAGGTACTGCTGCCTCGTCATCCCCGTGGGCTGGGGCAGGCAGGCTGGGGACACGGCACCGCTGTGAGCCCCTGGCTGGGCGTGGGGCTGGGGGTTCCATCCCTGGCAGGGGCTTACCGAGGTTGGAGGTCTCCACATCGGTGTCGTAGGAGGCGTTGAGGGCGCCGATGGTGGTCCTCAGCAGCTCTGCCATCAGGGATGTGCCCATCACGTTCACGGACAAGTGGTGGCTGGCTGTGGGGTGGGAGGATAGGGAGGCTGAGGAGGGGCTGGGAGGGCTGAGGGGGTCCCTGCATTGCTGAGGGGCATGGTGGGACTGCGGGCCGGCCCTCCAGGGCCGTGAGCTCACTTTGGTAGGAATACTCGATAAAGGAATGATGCTGGATGATGCTGAGAACACTGAAGATGAAGTGGTCCAGGCCACAGACAAAGAGGAGGAAGAGCAGGATTGGGATGCACCTGAGCAGCTCCATCACCTGCAGGGAGAAGAGGAGCTGTCACAGCCTGCTGGCCCCAGCTCTGACCCCCCTGATTGCCCCCAGCCCCTCACTATGTGCTGCCGCTCAGGCCGCTGCACGACCGGCTTGCACGGGAAGATGAAAGACGAGGTCTCCTCCCGGAGCAGGGGCAGCAGCGTCTGCTTGTTCTGCGTGAGGGATGGGGGGTGTCTCAGAGCAGCCTCTGGGACACCCCACTGGCGGTGACGGGGCTGCCCTGCACCCCTTTCCCCCTGCCCAACCTGCTCTCTCCGCCGGGCATCGATTTGGCGGAAATAGGTGGTGATGTAGCAGTTGTCAAAGCCGATGTTGTGACAGTATTGATAGGTGTAGTGGAAAGCCCTGGTGAGACAGGTTAGGTCTGGGGTGAAGGGGGCATTGGGTGAAGCCCCCAGAACCCTCTCTGTTGTCTTCATGTCCCCCCCAGACATGCTGCCAGAGAAGGCCCTGTTGGCACAGGGGCGCCACCCCCACCCCCTGACCATCCCAGGGCTCACGAGAAGAAGACGAAGAGGAAGGTGAAGGACAGCAGCAGGCGGAAGAAGGAGACGGCCAGGCCCAGGCGGGCGCCTTCCTGCCGCAGCTGCGAGGTCACCTCCTTCCTCAGCTGCTCCGCTACCTCGGTGCCCACCAGCATCTTGTGATGCTCCTCCTGTGGCAGAGGGGCCATGGGGCAGGACAGGGCCACGGGCACAAGGGACAGGCACCCACAGGGCGCCCAGGCACCCACCTGGTAGGCAATGCTGGCGCTGAACTCCTGGCCGAGGCTGTTGACGGAGCTGTTCACCCGGTCATACATCTGCCCGAAGTTCCCATCCACGGGGATGTTCTTCTTACACCACTGCTTCATGACTGCAGAGATGGCACAGGGACGGTGCCACAGCTGAGGGGCAGAAGTGGATCTGCCCCTCCAAGGGAGCACGGGGTCAGGGTCACCTACGTTTGACCGAGTGGCAGAGGAACCCAAACTGCATGGGCAGGCAGATGAAGTGCTTGACGAGGGGCATGGTCACTTGTTGAATGCATTTCTTGTACATGTGCTGGAACTGCTTCGTGCAGCGCTGCAGGCCCCTCTGGACCACAGCTGGGGGACAGGAGGAGCCCTCAGCTGCCTGCTCAGCCCCAGCCCCACTGGCACGCCCCCAAGCAGGGTGTCCTGTGGGTTCAGCACTGGGATCTGGGGCAGCCCCCTCCCCACGTGCTGCCAGTCCCCGTCCACCCCGCTCACTTTCACAGCGAAGTTTGGTCTTTGTCTCATAGATCTCCTGGGTGCTGCGGGCTGGCTGCGTGCCCGTCTCGGGCTGTTGCCTCAGGTCGTAGCCCTCCTGGCTGGCCACCTGCTCGTTCAGCTGCACGAAGGCCTGGGAGATGTTCTGCATCTCGGTGTTGAGCGTCTCCGCGCTCTTCTGCCGGGGCACACACAGACACAGGCAGAGGCTCGGTCCCGCTCCCCTGGCCGCCCTCACCCCCTGCCCCAGAGCCCTCCTCACCACCAGCTCCTCCATCACGTGGCGCAGGGGGGCTGTCGATGCCTGCCACAGATGTCCCGTGTGGTTGACCTGTAGCTCCACCACGCACTCCATCGAGCGCTTCGTCTCCATCAGGTTGTACCAGAGGTTGGCCCCGGGCCCTGGTGGCAGCAGGGGTGGCTCAGAGCCCTCCAGCTGCCAGGAGCCCACTGGGGGGACACAGGGATATGGGGGGACCCTACCGTTGTAGATGGCAGCGAAGACAAAGGAGACGACGTAGAGCCGACCCTCCTTTCCCAGGAATTTGGGGACCATCAGCAGGTTGGCACAGCGGAAGTGGGGGGACGTGGCCCAGCCCAGGGCAGTCACCACTGTGCAGAGCAGAGAGATGAGCCCTTGGTCCCACAGAGAACCCCCTGGGGCTTCTGATGGTCCCCATCACCTCAGCCCCATCCCTGCCCCATCCTCACCTGTCAGCCCCCAGGTGAGCTTCACCTTCTGTGTCTCTGACAGGTCCAGAGGCATGATGAGGAGGTGGCAGAGGCCTGCAACACCCAACAATGTTCCTCATTCTTCCTAACGTTCCTAAGGTTCCAATTCTTCCAATGTTCCTAATTCTTCCTCAAAGACTTAAAAACTCACCAACAATTTGCCAATAGTTCGTAACACAAACCTTATCTCCAGCTCAAAAGAGACATCCACAAACAATAATCATACATTACATAGATAATCTAACCAATACAACCCCAACACACACACAAAAAAATACAAAATACTCAAGACAGCATAATTACAGGACTTCAAAACACAAGACTAGAAATCTCTACATCAAAAGTCCAAAAAAATCTCACCTTAAAAATACTTAAAATTACAAATAACAAAACAAGCAAACCACAAAATATGCAACTCAATACCAATGCCAACACTTTACAGGATTTAAAAGAAATCAATTAGATCAGGCCAATTTTAGAGATCACCATTGATAAACTTACACCACTTTTCAAATTATTAAGCAGACTAACATCAAATCTCCCAGAACCCTCACACCTAAAACCCAAAACCCCCTAAGAAAGTTCCTAAAGCCCTTCAACACAAACAAGCACATCACTGTGCAGTGTCACAACATGTACAAAATGTACAATTTTTTTTTATTTTATGTACAAAATCACAGACGGGATGGGACTGCTGAGGAATGCGTCTCGAGCTGTTTCTTTTCCAGCATCGGTTTCATTACATGGTTATGGCAATGGGAAGATGCCAGCAGCTCACGTTCCAGGCAGCAGCCAAAGAACTCAATGTTACAACTCATTTAAAAGTTTTTTAACCAATCACACAAAGCAAAAGCATATTGACAGTAGTTCTATCCAACCACTCTAAGCACTCATACCTTTGGTTAAAACAATGCTCGCTTATTTGGAATACAATACCTGCTTGTAGGCCTTAAAACACAATGCACAGAGCTCCATTTTTAAGCTTAGAACTTCCTAAAATCTCTCTAGATATAATTTTATGTAGTTTAAGGAGTCATTCTAGCCAGGCATTAATACCTTTGTTTTATTTGTCCTTACTTTGGAAATAATTTGGGATATTATAATTTTATTTACTTATTGATTGATTGTTGATTTAATTTATATATTTAATATATATATATGATTTATTTAATTAATTATTATTTAATAGGTTATTTATTTATTTGTTTATTTATTTATTTTTTATTTTTCTATTTTTTGTCCTAAATCTTCTATTGTTTTCCCCTCCATTTTCTCCCAAAGTTTTTTTTCCCAAATTATTTCCGAATTAAGGACCATTGCTCTATTTGTCCTTACTTTCTACACCTCACACAACTTTTCTGCTGACAAATCTTACATCTAGTACTTATTTCTAATCACACCCCTGCTGTCTCTGTAGCCTGCCTTTTGCAGTTTGCCCAAAACCCTCTGATTTTCAAGAATTCCCACAACCATCAAATCCTTAAATCAAGGATTTCCATTGATCCCACAACGCTCACTGAGGCAGTTGCCCCAAACCCTCTGATCTTCAAGAATTCCCACAACCTTAAATCAAGGATTTCCATGGATTCCTGTAACGCTCACCGAGGCAGTTGCTGCCTCTCTTTTACAGCTTGCCCAAAACCCTCTGATTTTCAAGAATTCCCACAACCTTAAATCCTTAAATCAAGGATTTCCATTGATCCCACAATGCTCACTGAGGCAGTTGCCCCAAACCCTCTGATTTTCAAGAATTCCCACAACCTTAAATCCTCAAAACAACGATTTCCGTTGATCCTGCAACGCTCACCGAAGCAGTTGCTGCCTCTCTTTTACAGCTTGCCCAAAACCCTCTGATTTTCAAGAATTCCCACAACCTTAAATCCTTAAATCAAGGATTTCCATTGATTCCTGGAACGCTCACCGAGGCAGTTGCCCCAAACCCTCTGATTTTCAAGAATTCCCACAACCATCGAATCCTTAAAACGACGATTTCCATTGATTCCCGCAACGCTCACCGAGGCAGTTGCCCCAAAACCCTCTGATTTTCAACAATTCCCACAACCTTAAATCCTCAAAATGACGATTTCCGTTGATTCCCACAACACTCACCGAGGCAGTTGCTGCCTCTCTTTTACAGCTTGCCCAAAACCCTCTGATTTTCAACAATTCCCACAACCTTAAAATGACGATTTCCGTTGATTCCCGCAACACTCAGAGGCAGTTGCCCCAAAACCCTCTGATTTTCAAGAATTTCCACAACCTTAAAACGACAATTTCCATTGATTCCCGCAATGCTCACTGAGGCAGTTGCCCCAAAACCCTCTGATTTTCAACAATTCCCACAATCTTAAATCCTTAAAATGACGATTTCCATTGATTCCCGCAACACTCACCGAGGCAGTTGCCCAAAACCCCCTGATTTTCAACAATTCCCACAACCTCAAAACGACGATTTCCATTGATTCCCGCAACGCTCACCGAGGCCAAGGAGCATCCCAAAACCGGCTCCCAGGAGGGCTTTTCTGCAGCGAAACTCATGGGGTTGGCTCCAGAGGAAGCGGCTCCACGGGGCGGGCAGGACCGAGACCACCACTCGCTTCAGGGCTGGGTGGGGAGGACGGCGTGGGCACCGCTGCCGCCGCCCGCGGGCCGTGACAGGAGCGGTGCCGGGCAGCGGAGCTCACTCGTGTTGGGACGTTTCCGAGCGCGGGGAGTTTCTCCCACGGAGTTGATGTCGGTGGGATTCTCCAGCGGGGAGGGAGCGCGGCTGGGGGTCTGCACCACCAGCACCTCCTGCAGCTCTTCATCCCTTCCCACCGCTTGCTCCTCATCGTCAAAGTCGCGGCTGGAGGTGGGGAGACAAGCGTCGGGGACCAGCGGTTGTAGCGGGTGGGAAATGGATTGGAAAATGTTGTTGAAAATTGTTCATGGAAAATCGTTCATTTAAAAAATTGAGGTTTTTTTTTTTTTAAATTAGAGAAAATGGTATAGAAAATGTATAGAGCATTTTTGATATAAAAAAATTGAATTTTTTAAAAAAATTATATACAGTTTTATGGAAATTTATGGACATTTTAAGCAGTTTTAAAGAGAAAAGGATTTATAGGATATTTTATAGAAATTTATAGACAATCGTATAGAAATGTATAGAAATAGATAGAAAAACTTTAATAGAAAATTATTTCTAAAAAAATTTTAGCAAATTTTTGTCATTGTAGAAATGTATAGAAAATCTTTGACAGGAAATTATTTCTAGAAAATGTTATAGAAATTTATAGAAAATGTACAGAAAATTTTCAATAGAAAATTATTTCTAAAAATTTTTAGCACACTTTCTAATTAGAGAAAATCTTGTAGAAATTTATAGAAAGCTTTTTATAGAAATGTATAGAAATTGCATAGAAATTTTTAAATAGAAAATTATTTTCAGATATTTTTAGCAATTTTTTTAATTATAGAAAAATTTGTAGAAATTTATAGAAAAATTTTAATAGAAAATTATGCATATAAATTTTTTAGCATTTTTTAATTATAGAAAATTTTACAGAAATTTATAGAAAATTTATCAATACAGAAAATGTGTTTTCTATATTTATTTTAAATGTAGAAAATTTAGAAAGTTTGACAGAACTTTAGAATTTATAGGAAATATTTAAAGTTTAAATTTATAGAAAACCTTTAAAGTTTGACAGAAGGTGCACATAGCGTGTGAACCATATGTAAATTTTGAGGTAAATTTTTATTTAGAAATATTGTAGGATAAGACAGACGTTGAGAGAGATATTGGACTAGAAACAAGTTCTAAAGGATGGCTTTACAAATAAGATTAAATAATCACAGAAATAAAACTATAAAAGATACTTTGTGGCAGGACCCATGAGGGGTAATTTTTAGATTATTCTTTTTAAGGTATATATAGTGTGGCATGGTTAAAGCTGATAGACTAAAAACCACTTATAGGATATTGCAATTCTGATTTTGATAATGTGAATTATAACATCTGTATTGTCTCACCCTTCTCATGAGACTGAAAATGAATTTTTAAAACATCTCTCAGCTGCTCCATCTCTAAGTCAGAGAAATGTGTAATGCAACACTGACGCCGTTGGGGCAGGAGGGTATGAAAGGACTCCAATTCGGAAGGCTGAGAGTAGAACTGTGATTTATTTCAAATATATCACTCTTTTTATAGAGAGCATCATCCACACCCATTCTATTGGTCCTGAAGTGAGAACATATCACACCATTGGTGTGCAGTGAATGACACACAGTGGCAGAACCTATCTATAAACAATGTGAACAACAGGAGAAATAAAGAATTATTTACATTCTTTCTCAACTGTTTCCCAGGCTTCTGCCTGGTTAGAAACTTTTTGTTTTCTCTCTGATTGAACATTCTTTCTCAACTGTTTCCCAGGCTTCTGCCCGGTTAGAAACTTTTGGTTTTCTCTCTGATTGAACATTCTTTCTCAACTGTTTCCCAGGCTTCTGCCTGGTTAGAAACTTTCCGTTTTCTCTCTGACTGAACTGAGGATACCCACACAACACCATGGCTGGAAGGGAAGGAGGAACTGCCATCCGCACAGCCAGTGCTCACCTGGAGAGCAGCCGCTCGCTCTCCTCCTCCTCCTTCTCCTGCAGCTGCTCTTGCAGCCGGGCCGCCGTTCCAAAGGGGAGCCTCCAGCCCTCGATCGTGTCCTTGATGCGCTGCAGCAGCCGCCGCCCTCGTTCCTGGCCCCGCAGTGCCCGCTCAGTGCCCAGCCACAGCCCTGGTGTCTCCTCATCACTGGAGTCCCTGCGGGGGCACAGAGGCAGGGCTGAGCTGCAGCCCCCCACCCCTGCTGCAGCCCCCCGGGCTCGGGCAGGCCCCCGGCACCCCTCTGCTCACATCTCCTCATCCCCAGAGGCCGGGGAGCTCAGGGGGGCCATGCAGACGGAGCAGGTGTTCAGGATTCTGCAGCACTCGCTGCAATACAGCCCTGTGGAAAATGGGGCTGTCAGGGGGGAACGTGGAATTTTCTGGGGAGGGTGTGCCCGAGCTGTGGGGGCTCCTGCCTGTGCAGTTGGGTGTGATGCAGGCGGTGAAATCCGGCTGCTCTGCCATCCCACAGGTCAGGCAGTGCTTGCGCTGGATGCCCAAGCGGCGAGCGAGGCGAGCTAGCAGAGGGAACCTGCAAGCACAGAGCAAATGATCCACGGGGCAATGCCATCCCCGAGGTCCTTGCCACAGACCCCCGGGGATGGTGCTGGCCTTTTCCATCTCCTGGAAGAGCTTACCTGGAGATGAGGATAAGGAAGAACCTGCTTTTCCCAGTATCGGCCAAGCGCCGGGTGCCAACTTGGCGCAGGGCAAACATCACCCATTCCCGCCGTGCCCGGATGATGTTGTGGAGGAAGGCCAGGCGCTCCTGGCATGGAGGGGATGGGGTGAGGGCAGCTGGTGGCTGAGGGAGTGTAGAGGGACACACACACACCCACAGGAGGGGTCTCACCTGCTCGCGGGATGGGAAGTAGGCGGCACACACTGCCCGGCGCAGGCGTGCCATGTAGGAACCAAAGATGGAGATGAAGAGCCAGATACCGTACAGGATTCCTGGTGGGAAGAAAACGAGTTAAGCAGGGGGGCACCCCCCTACACCCCCCCATCCACCTGGGTCGTTGAGGGTGCAGTGACCCTGGTCTGCACACCTATGGTGATGTAGGTGCTGTGGTCGGGCTCCACGGGCTCGATGAGGCACACCTGGGACAGCACCGAGACCTCGCCCTCCTGCAGCGCGTTGAAGGCAGAGACCAGATCCTTATAGATCTCACTGGTGTAGCCCGTCCCGTTGACGCTGATGGTCATGGTCGACGGCGCTGTGGGCAAGCAGCTCAGCCCTGAGGCCATCCCACAGCCCTGACCCTCAGCCAGCAGGGCACCCAAGGGTGCTGCTCACCCTTGGCAACTATCTCCGCGCTCAGCTGGTGCCGGAACAGGTCGAGTAGCCAGAAGATGCCGTAGTCAGCCAGGATGATGCTGAACCCCAGCAGCGTATGGCGCAGGAAGCTAAAGAGCTGCAGCCCATACTGGCGTCGCTCCCTCCTTGACAGCCACAGCGCACCTGCACGGCCACGGGAGCACCGTGAGGCCGTGTCAGGGGGCTCAGGTCGGCCTGGGGGATCCCCTCGGGGCTGGGGCCGACCTGGGGGGATGTAGCGGCCCCTCTCCAGTGACGACAGGGGCAGCACGGTGGGTTTGCCCTGCTCTGCACACCGCAGGTCCAGCTCCACGAAGCGCCGCGTGATGTAAACGTTGTCGAAGGTGTCGTCGCGCAGGTAGCGGCGCCGGTAGCGCACGGCGCTGCGGGCACAGGGAGGCGGCTGAGCACCTGCACGCTGCGTCCCCGTCCCCATGGGTCACCAGAGCGCTACTCACCAGTAGCACAAGAAGAGGATGGCCAAGAAGGAGACGTAGGAGAAGAGCTCCAGGGCATGGTGGTAGGGCTCCATGTGCTGCTTCACGGCCTCCATCATATCGGCAGACACCTCCCCCAGGCTCTTGCTGGCGTTGAGGTTGACGCTGAAGTGGTGCACGACCGAGATGTTGAACTCAAACTCGGCGCGGACACGGTTCAGGGCAGTAGTGAGGGCTGCAGAGGTGACAGAGGTGTTATGCTTTGCAGCCAGAACCAGAAGAGGGGCACAGAAAAGGATCCATGAAGTGGCTTGGGTTTGTTAATTTGAGATTTTTTTGGTCAATGTACTAAAGAGCATGGTGGGTTTGGTGTTGGATAATTACTAACGTACTTATTTCTTGTTGTGAGGTAGGATTAGGGGAAAGGTAAAGTAGGTTTAAAACTTTAAAAGGGTATAAAGAAAAATTTATTAATAGTAAATTAAAGAAAGAGTAATCAGAATTAGAACAAAACTTTTAGAACACTTTTCTTCTTATTATAAATTTTTTTCTTACTGATAATGCAAAGAAATAAAATTTTAGTTAGTTAAATACTTTTATAAACTTTTAGAATAGTCTTTTTTTTTCATTTATTTAGGGAGAGTGGTTAAAAGCTTTGTATCACTTCCATAGATGTCCCTCAGGCAAAACAATGACAACCCCCAAGCCCCACGTGGCAGTGGGATACTCACGGGCTGCGACGTTGATCCGGATGAAGGTCTGGATGAATTTAGGGATGGTGCAGAATGTGAAAGCAACTGCAGAGAGGGGGATCTCTGTAGGGCTGGGCCCCCATGATGGGGACAGACCTGCCCCATCACCCCATGAGCCCCCTGTGGCAGAGGGACAGGGACTCACAAGTGCTCATCATGCCGCAGAGGGCCTTGAAGCTGAGGACAACGTAGCAGAAGTGGAAGAGGAGTGGGAAGGCGCGCTCGCACCTGTCCTTGGTCTTGTCCATGTAGCGAAAGCATCTGCTCTTGGGGTCCCCCAGTTCACGGTTGCAGATGCTCCCGGCCCTCGACAGCCACAGCCAAACATTGCGCAGGGCCCGGGCTGTGGGCAGGGAGCGGGCATTGGAGACAGGGATGGTCTGAGGGCAGGGTAAGGGGTGCTGGGGCTGGGGACACCCCCAGGGCTCCAACGCTCACCAACGTGTCTGGTGGAGTCCATGATGGAGCGGACGAACTTACGGACACGGTCACCCAGCACCTTGGCATTCTGGCCGATATCCTTAATTTTCTTCTGCACGTCTGCAGAGAGAGGGGACACCCGAGCACACCCCAAAGAGTGAGGGTAGCCCCAGGAAGGGCCTCTCCCATCCCGCCACCTTCCCCCAGGCCCCTGCTCACTCAGCAGTGGCTCCTTGGCACGCTGCAGCCGCTCGGCCGTCTGGTTTCGGGCCAGCTCAGCGCCACATGACAGCGCCTTGGCGACCTGGGAGACGTTGTGCAGGAGATTGGTGCCAGGGCCCTGCACGGTCAGGCACAGCGCCAGCATCATGATCAGCACCTTCCCCTCCCCTGCGAAGAAAGGGCAAGAATCAGTCCCATAATCTGACAGGAAAGAATCAGTATTATAATCTGACAGCAAATAATCAATCTCATAATCTGCCAGCAAAGATTCAGTCTCATAATCTGACAGGAAATAATCAGTCTCATAATCTGACAGGAAAGATTCAGTCCCATAATCTTCCAGGAAAGATTCAGTCTCATAATCTGCCAGGAAAGAATCAGTCTCATAATTGCACAGGAAAGAATCAGTCGCATAAACTGACAGGAAAGATTCAGTCTCATAATCTGACAGGAAATAATCAGTTGCATAAATTGACAGGAAAGATTCAGTCTCATAATCTGCCAGGAAAGATTCAGTCTCATAATCTGCCAGGAAATAATCAATCTCATAATCTGCCAGGAAAGATTCAGTCTCATAATATGGCAGGAAATAATCAATTTTATAATCTGACAGGAAAAAATCAATCTCATAATATGACAGGAAAGAATCATTCTCATAATCTGGCACTAAAGATTCAGTCTCATAATATGACAGGAAAGAATCAGTTTTCTAATCTGACAGGAATCAGTTTTGTAATCTGATAGAAAATAATTAGCCTCATAATTTGACAGGAAAGAATCAGTTTCATAATCTGACAGGAAAGAATCAGTTTTGTAATCTGACAGGAAAGAATCAATCCCATAATCTGACAGGGAAGAATCAGCCTCATAATATGACAGAAAATAATCAGTATCATAATCTGCCAGGGAAAAATCAGTCTCATCATTTGATGGGAAGAATCAATTTCATAATCTGCCAGGAAATAATCAATCTCATAATCTGCCAGGAAATAATCAATATCTCATAATCTGCCAGGAAATAATCAATATCACATAATCTGCCAGGAAATAATCAATATCTCATAATCTGAAGGCCGTGAATTTGATCCCCACACGGGGCACCACAGGTGTTGGTTATTTCACTGCTCTGTTTCTGTCAGGGTTGGGATTGAAAGATGGTATTTCACATCTGGATTTAGATGTTCATTATTTTTATCTATATGACAGTGAGTTCTACAGTATTTTACTGGTAAGTTACAAAATGGTTTTGTTTCTATTTTTACAAGGTCTTTTAAGGAAAAATAATCTAAGAAATGACACTAAAATTATTTTTATTTTTAACTCAATAACTAATAATTTGTGTTTTGCAATGTGATTTTTTTTGTTTAATTATAAAATATGACTTAAACTTATGAAGAAGGTGGAGAAGAAGGATTAGCTACTGCCTTAAAATTTTTATCTTATTTTTATATATATTATTCTATTTTAAAACTTTAAACTCTAAGTTTTCTGCTAGTTGATATTACCCACTCCTATTTAAATGACACATTTATAATTGTATTATTAATCTGTTATATATAACTAATCTGCTATATCTAATCAACAATCTTATTAATCTGTTATATATAACTAATCTATTATATATAACATATTCTTATTATTTGTTATATATAATCTGTTATACATAATTCATAATCTTATTATTAATTGCTATATGTAACTAATCTGCTGTATATAATTAATAATTTTATTAATCTGTTATATATATCTAATCTGGTATATATAACATAATCTGATTATTAACCTGTTATATATAATTAATCTGTTATATCTAATTTATAATACTATTAATATGTTATCTATAACTAATCTGCTATATGTAATTTTGATCATAATATTAATCTGTTATATGTAACTAATCTGTAATATATAATTTATAATCTTATTCTTGATATGTTATATATAACTAATCTGTAATATCTAATTTTAAATCTTCTTATTAATCTGTTATATATATAATCTGTTACATATAATTTATAATCTTATTCATGTCATCTATAACTAACCTTCTATATATAATTTATAATCTTATTATTGATATGTTATATATAACTAATCTGTTATTCATAATTTATAATCTTATTATTGATATGTTATATATAATTTATAATCTTATTAATATGATATCTATAACTAATCTTCTATATGTAATTTATAGTCTTATTATTAATATGTTATTAATTTTGGAAGCTTTTTTAACGGTTTTAGGGTCCCTAACTAATCTATAACTAATCTGCTATATATAATTTATGATCTTATTACTAATCTGTTATATGTAACTAATCTGCTATATATAATTTATGATTTAATATTGATATGATATATGTAACTAATCTGCTATATATAATTTATAATCTTATTATTGATATGTTATATAAAACTAATCTGTTATTCATAATTTATGATCTTATTATTAATCTGTTACATATATAATCTGCTATATATAATTTATAATCTTATCAATATATTATCTATAACTAATCTTCTATATGTAATTTATAATCTTATTATTAATATGTTATTAATTAATTTTGGAAGCTTTTTTAATGGCTTTAGGGTCTCTAACTAATCTATAACTAATCTCCCATATATAATTTATGATCTTATTATTAATCTGTTATATGTAACTAATCTGCTATATATAATTTATGATTTCATATTGATATGCTATATGTAACTAATCTGCTATATATAATTTATAATCTTATTATTGATACATTATATATAACTAATATGTTATTCATAATTTATAATCTTATTATGAATATGTTATATATAATTTATAATCTTATTAATATGTTATCTATAACTAATCTATATATAATTTTTAATCTTATTATGTATATGTTATATATAATTTATAATCTTATTAATATGTTATCTGTAACTAATCTATATATAATTTTTAATATTATTATTCATATGTTATATATAATTTATAATCTTATTATTCATATGTTATCTATAACTAATCTATATATAATTTTTAATCTTATTATTCATATGTTATATATAATTTATAATCTTACAAATATGTTATCTATAACTAATCTATGCATAATTTTTGATCGTATTATTAATACATTATTAATAAATTTTTAAGCTATTTTTACGGCTTTATAGCCTGTGTTTTTCAGCACAGAAAGTTTGGGATTTTCCCTGTCTCGGCCTCCCACACACTCCCGTTGCTCAGCCAGTGGCGGGCACCCCTGGCACCCCCGCGGCTGCTCACGGGTGAAGAAGTGCGGCAGCGCCAGCAGCACCAGCATCCGCGCCCTGCTGGAGAAGGCCATGCCCAGGCCCGCGCCCGCGCCCAGCAGCACGGCGGCGCCCAGGCAGTGCCAGGCCCCGTGGCCCTGCACCAGCAGCGCCAGGGCCCCGTAGGCGCCGGCCAGCAGCAGGCCCAGCGCCAGGCCGCCCAGGCTGCGGGCGAACCCCCGCGCCTCGCCGCCGGCCCCCGGCCCGCGCCGGCCCCGCGGGGCTCGGCCCGAGCCCGGCGGCGGCCCCATGCCCACGGCTCCTGGTTCTCCCTGCAGAGCCAGCGAGGGTTTCCGCAGTGCTGCCCGCCACGCTCAGGCCCTGCCCGGTTTCCGTTGGGCCCGGCGGTTTCGGTTGCGCTCTGCTGCCAGCTTCTCTGAGGTCCTCAGAGAGGGGAAGAAATGTCAGGGAAATGAAGCCGCAAACATCAG